CCCAAAAGTTTTGAAGTTGCATATAGGAAGTAGTGCTCAATAGAAATCCTTATGTAGTTTATTATCCCCTGTGCTTTTGGCCAAGATGTCAAAGAACAATTGCATGAATTATTTCATCGCCGAAAATCTCTAATTACAAGTCGTTTACAGTTGCCAAATGGCACAAAGCGCAGGAAAATTGTATAAGGGCTGTGACTAATATGACACGGAGTTGAAGTCTCAGTTGGCGGTAATTTTAACTTCGTCGACAAAACGTAAATCAAGGACGTTTTAAATTTGGTGATTTCTGAAAATAATCATTTTGTTCAGCCGCTAACTTTATACCGAAAATCGCCAACATGTTATGTGTAAATCGGAGTAAATCGTATCTGACTGACAAAAACAACATTGAAAAACAATGGATGCCATAAACCGGAAATGAAGACAATTATAATACCGGATCTAATTCCGGGAGCGGATAAGGGTAATTCCGGGTTTGCCGATCAAATACAATAAAAATATAATAATTCCAGGCATGAGACAAAATACATCTATCATGATGAAATATAAACTCTAGAATTGAAAACCAAAGATATATTGAAAAGAAAGAAAAAGCAGGAAATATTTTATACAGAAACTCAAAATTACTTTTAGTTCACAAATTTTCATGTCAAAAACCAATAAAATGTGACAGTATTTTCCTTATCATTAATAAATATTGATATTACATGTAGATGTTTTTATTGTTTAAACATATTACTACAATTCCATGAGGTAATTTCTTCTCAATTTGGAAGGGCCTATAAAAATCTGGAAGTTTCTTACTTTATTTTCACAGAGGAACTAGCTAATATAATATATAGTGCAACTAGATACATGAGATATGATACACTTAAACAGTTTTGAATTTGAACTGTTTATTATAATGGTATAATTAGTAATAAATAATCAATTGTTGAGACAACACACCCACCCACAGTGATACCCTCAGCCTCCCTCAGCCTTCCTAATACAAAAAAAAAAGATTATTTGAATTCATAAATTAATATACAAGACAATTACATTTATTATTAAACATGTTAAACGACAGTGACACTGACAATGAAACAAGCTAACTTAACACCAAAAGCACATTAAAGTATCTTACTGAGTTATGAACTATTTCAAGGAAAAGCAGGACCTGGAATTTAGGTTGTGGACCTTTCAGTTTGGAGTGTCAAAGGTCCTGGACTGTCCAGTACAAAATGTTAATTTTAACCCCTGCATTCACAGTAAAGCGATTTTGACGTGTATTGCAATTCCAAGTAGAATTTACTTTTGGACATTAAACGTTTCGATTGCGTATTAAACTTATTCAAATCAGTTAATAATGTGAATCGAATTCGAATTATGTGTGAACGCAGCATTGATATATCTAAGAAATGAAGAATATTAAAAAAAGATGGACAAAATATTTGTATTAAATTTGTTGCAATTTTTGTCTTGCCTTGACAGAGTCAAAAAGTGAGACATACATATATATATATAGGCATGCTGTTTTGGCGGAATCAACAATGTATTAGTTTGTGATTTTGTGATAAGGTCTGGTTTCTGGTAGGTCAATGACATTTTGTAAGTAGTTGTGTTAGCATAGGCACATCTCATTACCATAGAGAATATTTGGCCCCACCCCCTTAGTCATGGTCTATTGACTTTGAAACTTTGCATAGTTTACATGTATATATGTTTGTGATTAGGTCAGTTTAGGGGGAACCACTAGTGGTAGGTCAATGATATTTGGTGTGCAGTTGTATAAACTTTTTCATTTCTAATTTCCATTGAGATTATTTGGCCCCGCCCCCTCAATCATGCTCTTTTTACTTGGAAACTTATGTTACTTTGAAATTTCATTTATTAGTTTTCGATTAGGTTCGTATTAGGGAAACCAATAGTGGTAGGTCAATGATAATTGGCATGTAGGTGTAGAAGCATTAGTACATCTCATTTCCATAGAGGATATTTGGTCCTCACCCCTCAGTCATATGCATGATCTATTGACTTTGAAACTTTTACTTAGTTTACATGAATGAGTTTGTGATTATATGATTATGTCAGTTTAAAATTACCAGTAATCTTAAGTCAAAGCTATTTGGTATGCGAACGTATTGGTATTCAAAAGTTTCATTTCCATGGATATTATATAACCCCCTCATTATGGTTCATTGACTTAGAAATTGAATTTGTGTTAAGGTTTGTTTAAAGGGAACGACTTATGAAAAGTCAATGGTATTTGGTTTGCAGTTGAACAAGCATTGGCACCTTTCATTTCCATAGAGATTGTTTAGCCTTGTACCTTCAGTCATGGTTCATTGGCTTTGAATATCACTTACATGTTAAAGTATTACTATTTTAAGTGTAACATTTGCATTATCAAAATAACAAATAGGCAAAACATTACGTTGTGTTAATAGCTTATTATAGATTAGACATGTGTAATTATTATAAAAATAAGGAGATGTGGTATGATTGCCAATGAGACAACTATCCACCAAAATTCAAATGAAGTGGATGTAAGCAATTACTGGCAACCGTACAGCCTTCAAAAATATATGTTGCATCATTGCTAGGCCATTATAACAACATCAGCATTTCTTGTAATACTAGTATACAAGAAAATTACACCATTTCAGATAAGTTTCAGGTATGATTTTATAATTGTGCATAGTGGCACCAGCTGATGCAACTAAAAGCGCTAATATGGCATATTCAAACTCTAGTACATAGTGGAATTAAACCATACACCACTGTTGGACACCATAATTGAAATTATTATTCTGAAAAGAATATTCCTCCATGCAGCCTGCAACAATTAGCAAAACCTATACTGCATAGTAAGATATAAACGACCACGAAATGACAAATGTAATACAATAAAACTAAAGCAGCCTGATTTATGTACAAAACAATTATGAAAAATAAATATGATATACAGCAACAATCAACAATCACCAAATTACTGGGTCCTCACTATGGACAGGTACATACAGAATGTGGCGGGTTAAACATGTTAGCTGGCACAAAACTCTCCCCTAACATGGGACAGTGTATGTGCATAATCTCAGACATTAAATCTTTAAAAAATTAATTGGAAATAACTTTTGAAAGTGGTAGGATTGGATAGCAGAAACATTACGGTACAAACATTATTTGATACTTGAGAAATAGCTGAGATATATAGATTCTACCACTGCATCGAGTGTGATACGATATTTATCCACTCGAGACAGTTAAATTTTCAAATTTAAAACGCGAGGCTTGCCGAGCGTTTTAAATATTTAAAATTTAACTGTCGAGAGTGGATAAATATCGTATTACACGAGATTTGGTGGTGGAATCTGTTTCTCTAATGATTTTCAAACAATATGCAGGCAAACTTATTCCGTCTTTTCGAATGATCTGTAAAAAGATGTGTTCTTTCTATGTGACGTCATCAGGCATGGTCGCCTTTTTTCATGCCGTCAAAATAGGAAATTCAGAGGAAAGCAAGTAAATTCGACGTCATAATCGGATTTTAACCAATGAAGAACTGAGATCAAACGAACTACACGTTGATTAAATTTTTTGTATACAATGGGTGCAGAAAGGGATAAATTGACGAAGAATTAGAGAAAAATATTTTCATCCATTCTTCCGCTATATTCATCTTAACTTCTGCCAAGTTTACCTTTGATTTTTGTCGAGCCTTCGACTTTAGTCGAAAAAGCGAGACATAGCGATCCTACATTCCGTCGGCGTCGGCGGCGTCCACAAATATTCACTCTGTGGTTAAAGTTTTTGAAATTTTAATAACTTTCTTAAACTATCCTGGATTTCCACCAAACTTGGACAGAAGCTTGTTTATGATCATAAGATAGTATCCAGAAGTAAATTTTGTAAAAATAAAATTCCATTTTTTCCGTATTTGACTTATAAATGGACTTAGTTTTTCTGCCGGTAAATATTACATTCACTCTGTGGTTAAAGTTTTTAAAATTTTAATAACTTTCTTAAACTATCCTGGGTTTGTACCAAACTTGGACAGAAGCTTGTTTATGATCAAAAGCTAGTATTTAGAAGGAAATTTTGTAAAAAAATAAATCCATTTTTTCCGTATTTTACTTTTAAATGGACTTAGATTTTCTGCCAGGAAACAACATATTCACTCTGTGGTTAAAGTTTTTAAAATTTTAATAACTTTCTTATACTATTTTGGATTTGTACCAAACTTGGACAGAAGCTTGTTTATGATCAAGAAGGAAATTTTGTTTTCTTCCAGTTAACATTACATTCAGTCTGCAGTTAAAGTTTTTAAACATTTATTAGATTCATAAACTATCCTGGAATTTTACCAAACTTGGACAGAAGCTTCTTACAATCAAAAGATAGTATCAAGAGGAATATTTTTATTGATTTACTTCCTCATTTTTGTTGAGCCTGCGATTAACAGAAAAAGTAGGCGAGACACTGGGTTCCGCGGAACCCTTACAAATTTTTTTAATTAACTGCCTATAGCGCCTTTGGTGCTTTGATTTTTTAAAAGGGTTCATATTTTTTTCTCAAAATTTTCAAAATTTCAAATTTTTGAAAAGTTTCAAGAAGAAATCTTCAATTGCACAGTATTGCGCATTAGATTTGTAAGATCTTTGACCACATTAATTTTGTGTCAGAAGCCTACATGTATATTATGTCAAAAATTTGATCACAATCCAAATTCAGATAGTATCAAGCTTGGATATTGTGTCCAAATTTGCCCCAACTGTTCAGGGTTCAACCACTGCGGTCGTATCAGGCTGCACTCAGCGAAGCATTTTATCTAATATGTTCATGTTTTTTCTTGTTTTAGATAGCACATAGGTATACACAAGAGAACATAGATGTATTGTCCTCTGCAGGTGTCAATATATTGGCAAAGTCTTAGTTGTTGCAGTAAATTTGTAATTTTAAAAAAGTTGATTTGGAATGAACACGTAGCAAGTCTTAGTACATCTTCTCCCTTGTTTCAGATGGCTGAAACACAAGAGAATGGAGAAGATGCTTTGTTAAACTTACAAGGAGACCAGGTAGATGTAGGTCTGACAGATTTAGATGGTGAGAATCAGTTTGAAGGAGGGGATGGAGATGCTACAACAACACAGGAAGAAAGTGCAGTGGAGGATCCAGTAAGTTTCTACATTGAAAATTCTACTCGGTGACAAAATCAGTATTAAGCAAAAAAATATATGTGTGTGGTTCCATTTTCATTTTAATGAAAAATACAAAGGGTAGGTTGGCAGGTAGGTAGGGATTTTTATGCCCCCGCCATAGCGGAGGGGGCATTAAGTTTACCCTTATCCGTCTGTACGTCCTTCCATACGTCCGTACGTCCCAAAGTTGGTTTCCGTTCTCTAACTTAAGTTTGCCTCAACCAAATGTTATGAAACTTATACACAATGCTTATTATCACAAAATACAGATCAAGTTTGAATATTGGGGTGTCACTTTAACCATTCTAGAGTTATGCCCCTTTACAAATGGAAAAATTGCTGAATTTTCCGTTTCCATTCTCTAACTTAAGTTTGCCTCAACCAGATGTTATGAAACTTATACACAATACTTATTACCACAAAACTCAGATCAAGTACAAATTTGGGTAGCATCACTTTTACCGTTCTTCAGTTATGTCCTTTTGTAACTTTATATGATATGCAAGCGGGGCATCATCTGTGTACCATGGACACATTCCCCATTTATTTTTAAATGTATTTGTCAGACATATAGAAAACATATATATATATAATGCGTGAAAAATTGGCAACTACACTCAAGAGTACTCCTTTTTTGTGTTGATGCTATTCATCAAGCTTTGTATTCATCTTTACTGTGAATTGTACCCTGTTATTGATAAGCAGATTTGTACATTTTGATAACTACTGTATTGCATACAAAACATTCTCATTTCTGACCGTATAATTGTGCAGTTTTTGTGTGTAACAGTAACATGTTGATATTCTTTATACACAAAGAAAAAAATCTATTTTCACAAAGAACTTTAATTCAAAAACTAAAACAACTTAACATTTAAACTCTACTGTTAAAGTATAACAAAAGTACAACATAACATGATTTAATAGTTATTAGGCCTTGTCAGAATGAAGCAGTGAAAGACTGCCTTCACCCGTGTCAGTGACATCTTCCAATACTTTTTTCCAAATTGATTGTTTTCCAAATGCATATAATCTGTTGTTTACTAAAGTTTTTATTTTTCCTGTGTGTGGATATTTTATCCTTACACACCAAGAGAGGGTAATTTTGTCTGCCATTGACGCGGATCAATCAGAACTACTCAGCCTTTGTCGATTTTTGTGAAGCGGAAATGGCTGAGTAGTTCTGATTGGACGCAGAAACACATTAAATACATGTAAGAAGTCGAATATGGATCGCTTTTTCTGGAAATCAGAGTTCGGTCAGACAAGAAGGGAAAATATTTAGAAAGGACCCAAAAAAAATTTTGAGGTGGCTGCATTTTTCCAGTTGGTCAGGGTGTGGTGAAACAAACCTATCGCAAAAAGTTTTTGCGGTTGTATATTGGTATGACGTTGGCGTCATCGTTGTCGTCGTCCGAAGACACATTGGTTTTCGCACTCTAACTTTAGTTTAAGTGAATGGATCTCTATGAAACTTTACCTTAAGGTTCAATACCACAAAAGGAAGGTTGGGATTGATTTTGGGGGTTATGGTACCAACAGTTAAGGAATTAGGGGCCAAAAATAAGCATTTTTGTAACTTCCAGACATAACTTGTGTGTTAGTGTATGGATCTCTCTGACATTGTACCACAAGGTTCCATATCACACAGGGAATGCTGGGATTGATTTTGGGGGAATTGCCTCAAAATATTAGGAATTCAATTAGGGGCCAAAAAAGAGGCAAAAAACAAGCATTTTTCTAGTTTCATGACAATAACTTGTGTGTAAGTGTATGGATGTTTCTGAAATTGTACTACAAGGTTCTATATCACAAAGGGAAAGCTGGAATTGGGTTTGGGGGTAATTGCCCAAAACGTTTAAGGAATAAGGGGCCAAAAATAAGCATTTTTCTAGTTTCCAGACAATAACTTGTGTTCAAGGTTACGTATCTCTCTGAAATTGTACCACAAGGTTCCATATCACACAGGGAATGCTGGGATTGATTTTGGGGGTAATTGCCTCAAAATATTAGGAATTAGGGGGCAAAAAACAAGCATTTTTCCAGTTTCATGACAATAACTTGTGTGTAAGGGTAGGGATCTTTCTGAAATTGTACTACAAGGTTCCATATCACAATGGGAAAGCTGGAATTGAGTTTGGGGGTAATTGCCAAAAACGTTTAGGAATAAGGGGCCAAAATTTAGCATTTTTTCTAGTTTCCAGACAATAACTTGTGTTCAAGTGTATGGATCTCTCTGAAATTGTACTGCAAGGTACCATACCACAATGGGAAAGCTGGAATTGAGTTTGGGGGTAATTGCCCAAAACGGTTAGGAATAAGGGGCCAAAAAAGGGGCCAAAATTAAGCATTTTTCTAGTTTCCAGACAATAACTTGTGTTCAAGTGTATGGATCTCTCTGAAATTGTACTGCAAGGTACCATACCACAATGGGAAAGCTGGAATTGAGTTTGGGGGTAATTGCCCAAAACGTTTAGGAATAAGGGGCCAAAATTAAGCATTTTTCTAGTTTCCAGACAATGACTTGTGTTCAAGTGTATGGATCTCTCTGAAATTGTACTGCAAGGTACCATACCACAAAGGGAAGGCTGGGATTGATTTTGGGGGTAATTGCTTCAAAATTTTAGGAATTAGGGGCCAAAAAAGGGGCAAAAAACAAGCATTTTTCTAGTTTCAGGACATTAACTTGTGTGTAAGTGTATGGATCTTTATGAAATTTTACTACAAGGTTCCATATCACAAAGGGAAAGCTGGGTCTGAGTTTGGGGTTAATTGCCCAAAACGTTTAGGAATTTTGGGCCAAAAAGGGGCCAAAAAACAAGCATTTTTCTAGTTTCCAGACAATAACTTGTGTTCAAGTGTATGGATCTCTCTGAAATTGTACTGCAGGTACCATACCTTAAATGGAAGGCCAAAAAATTTGGGGGGGGGATTTTTTTTTCTTTTAAAATTTTCCATTTTACATTGGTTATTTCTGATTTATATATAAAAGCAAATAATGATGATATGGTTAGAATAGATAAATTACAAATTTTTAAGTTCTTAGACCACATTCAGTCTTTGTCAGAAACCGTTGCTGTGTCAAATATTTAATCACAATCCAAATTCAGTGCTGTATCAAGCTTGAATGTTATGTCCATACTTGCCCCAACTGTTCAGGGTTCAACCTGTGCGGTCGTATCAAGCTGCACCCAGCGGAGCATTTTATTTATTTTGGCCTTACCAATTACATTTTGTATTTCAAATTTGTTGATTACAGTACTTTTCCAAAAGGCTTCTGCATGTACATATACATGTATTTTGAAATTATAAATGGACAGTCATATTAGTATAAATTATTGAACCATATTATTTCATAGCCTATATTATCATATTGTTTCAGTCATTCTTACATTATGTGGGTTTAGTACAAAGCAAAGTACATGTATCTTATAGTGTTTATAAATACATGTACTACCATTAGCCACTAGGTAATAAATTAAAGATTATGGAAGAGTATCATCATAGCAAATCTTTGCACCTGTAAAGATGGTATAGTTAGAACTAGACCTTATTGGTTATTGTATATTAATGTAATTATAAATTATGTATCTGTCAGCAAAAAGTGAAATCGTTTCTTTTAAGGAATTAGAAGCCATTAAAGCTAGAGTTAAGGAAATGGAAGAGGAAGCAGAAAAGTTAAAACAAATGCAAAAATCTGTAGATGAAGAAATGCAGATGACCTCACCTACATTAGCACAGCCAGGTAGATTTTTGATTTTATCACTGCTATATGTATAATGAATTGTTATGATTTAAACTACAAATATTATTACTGTCATGTAACATGTGTAACAATTTTACAGTCTAAAATTTTCAATTTTTATAGGACAGCAAAAAATTTTGCGGTCGTATATTGGTATTACGTCAGTGTCGTCCGAAGACATTTGGTTTCCGGACAATAACTTTAGTAGATGTAAATACAAATCTATGAAATTTAAACACAAGGTATATAACCACAAAAGGAAAGTTGGGATTGATTTTGGGGGTTATAGTCCTAACAGTTTAGGAATTAGGGGCCAAAAAGGGGCCCAAATAAGCATTTTTCTAGTTTCAAGACGATAACTTGTGATACGGTGTATGGCTCTCTCTGAAATTATACCACAAGTTTCTATACCACAAAGGGATGGTTAGGATTGGCTTTGGGGGGTTATGGCTCAAACCGTTTAGGAATTAAGGGCAAAAAAGGGGGAAAAACAAGGGTTTCCTGGTTACTAGACAATTAAAAAAAAAGTACAATGTTATGTTGGATTACCTCCCTTACACTGCTTTTAAATTATGTATAAAGAAATGTTGTATTGTCTTGAGGTGATTAGCTGTCAATTTATTTTTAGAAGTTACTATTTAAAAATGCTGATTAAGGAATATTAATTTTAGCTATGATTATGTATGTCATTTTCTATTTTAAGACTTTTATGATGTATTTAAATGGGTAATTATGGTTGCAAACTCCATTGGAAATTTGAATTGAGATTATGACCATATCTTGAGGGAAAGAATTTTATAGCCCCGCCATAGCGGAGGAGGCATTAAGTTTAACCCTTGTCTGTCTGTATGTCCGTCCATACCTCCCAAAATTGGTTTCCGTTCTCTAACTTGAGTTTGCCTCAACCAAATGTTATGAAACTTATACACAATGCTTATCACCACAAAACACATATTAATTTCGAATTTTGGTGGCGTCACTTTAACCATTCTAGAGTGATGCCCCTTTATAAATGGAAAAATTGCAAAATTTTTAGTTTCCATTCTCTAACTTAAGTTTGCCTCAACCAAATGTTATGAAACTTATACAGAATGCTAATGACCACAAAACACAGATCAAGTTTGAATTTTGGTGGCATCACTTTTACCGTTCTAGAGTGATGCCCCTTTATAAATGGAAAAATTGCAAAATTTTTATTTTCTTCTAAATATCAAGTAATTTTTATACGACCGCAAAAATTAAAAATTTTTTGGTCGTATATTGGTATGACGTTGGCGTCGTCGTCGTCGGCGTCGTCGTCGTCGTCCGGCGTCGTCCGAAGACACATTGGTTTTCGCACTCTAACTTTAGTTTAAGTGAATGGATCTCCATGAAATTTCACCATAAGGTTCAATACCACGAAAGGAAGGTTGGGATTGATTTTGGGGGTTTTGGTACCAACAGTTAAGGAATTAGGGGCCAAAAAGGGGCCAAAAATAAGCATTTTTGTAACTTTCAGACAATAACTTGTGTGTAAGTGTATGGATCTCTCTGAAATTGTACCACAAGGTTCCATATCACAAAGGGAAGGCTGTAATTGATTTTGGGGGTAATTGCCTCAAAATTTTAGGAATTAGGGGCCAAAAAAGGGGCAAAAAACAAGCATTTTTCTAGTTTCATGACAATAACTTGTGTGTAAGTGTTTGGATATTTCTGAAATTGTACTACAAGGTTCCATATCACAAAGGGAAAGCTGGAATTGAGTTTGGGGGTAATTGCCCGAAACGTTTAGGACATGGGGGCCAAAAAGGGGCCAAAATTAAGCATTTTTCTAGTTTCCAGACAATAACTTGTGTTCAAGTGTATGGATCTCTCTGAAATTGTACTGCAAGGTACCATACCACAAAGGGAAGGCTGGGATTGAGTTTGGGGGTGATGAATCATAAGGGGGTTCAAAAAATTTGGGGGGGGGGGGGGGGGATTTTTTTTTTTTTTTTTTTTCTTTTTTTCCTTTTTTTTTTCTTTTAAAATTTTCCATTTTAAGTTGGTTATTTCTGATTTATATTTAAAAGCAAATAATAATGACATGGTAGGAGATACACACCAAACAGGATGTGTAAATTATTATATAATAAGTATTGTGCAATAGCAAGAAATTTTCAATTGCACAGTATTGCACAATAGCAAGAAATCTTCAATTGCGCAGTATTGCGCAATAGCAAGAAATCTTCAATTGCACAGTATTGCGCAATAGCAAGAAATATCCAATAGCACAATATTGCGCAATAGCAAGAAATTGTCAATTGTACAGTATTGCGCAATAGCAAGAAATATTCAATTGCACAGTATTGTGCAAAAGAAGATACTTCATATAAATTGCTTATTTCTTGATCAATTTCAATGGGGTTTTATTCTTGAATTCTTGGGGTTCTTTAATATGCTGAATCTAACCGTGTATTAAGTTTTTGGATTTTGGGCCCCGTTTTTAAATTGGTCCACATTGAGGTCCAAAGGGTCCAAAATTTAACTTTGTTTGATTTCATCTAAAATTGATTTATTGGGGTTCTTTGATATGCCGAATCTAACCGTGTATTTAGATTTTTAATTTTGGGTCCCGTTTTTTAAATTGGTCTACATTAAGGTCCAAAGGGTCCAAAATTAAACTTAGTTTGATTTTAACAAAAAATGAATTCTTGGGGTTCTTTGATATGCTGAATCTAAACATGTGTTTAGATTTTTGATTATGGGCCCAGTTTTCAAGTTGGTCCAAGTTGGGGTCCAAAATTAAACTTTGTTTGATTTCAACAAAAATTGAATATATGGGGTTCTTTGATATGCTGAATCTAAATATGTATTTAGATTTTAGATTTTTGGCCCAGTTTTCAAGTTGGTCCAAATTGGGGTCCAAAATTAAACTTTGTTTGATTTCAACAAAAATTGAATATATGGGGTTCTTTGATATGCTGAATCTTACCATGTATTTAGATTTTTTATTTGTGGGCCCGCTATCAAATTGGTTCATATTGAGGTCAAAAGGGTCCAAAATTAAACTTTGTTTGATTTCATCAAAAATTGAATTATTGGGGTTCTTTGATATGCCAAATCTAACCGTGTATTTAGATTTTTAATTTTGGGTCCTGTTTTTTAAATTGGTCTACATTAAGGTCCAAAGGGTCCAAAATTAAACTTAGTTTGATTTTAACAAAAATTGATTTTTTGGGGTTCTTTGATATGCTGAATCTAAACATGTCTTTAGATTTTTGATTATGGGACCAGTTTTCAAGTTGGTCCAAGATGGGGTCCAAAATTAAACTTTGTTTGATTTCAACAAAAATTGAATATATGGGGTTCTTTGATATGCTGAATCTAAACATGTATTTAGATTTTAGATTTTTGGCCCAGTTTTCAAGTTGGTCCAAATTGGGGTCCAAAATTAAACTTTGTTTGATTTCAACAAAAATTGAATATATGGGGTTCTTTGATATGCTGAATCTTACCATGTATTTAGATTTTTTATTTGTGGGCCCGCTATCAAATTGGTTCATATTGAGGTCAAAAGGGTCCAAAATTAAACTTTGTTTGATTTCATCAAAAATTGAATAATTGGGGTTCTTTGATATGCCAAATCTAACCGTGTTTTTAGATTTTTAATTTTGGGTCCCGTTTTTTAAATTTGTCTACATTAAAGTCCAAAGGGTCCAAAATTAAACTTAGTTTGATTTTAACAAAAATTGAATTCTTCGGGTACTTTGATATGCTGAATCTAAACATGTGTTTAGATTTTTGATTATGGGACCAGTTTTCAAGTTTGTCCAAGTTGGGGTCCAAAATTAAACTTTGTTTGATTTCAACAAAAATTGAATATATGGGGTTCTTTGATATGCTGAATCTAACCATGTATTTTGATTTTGGACATTGGACCATAATAGGTAAATTAAAAAAATTGAAGTTCTTAGACCACATTCTTTCTGTGTCAGAAACCTATGCTGTGTCAAATATTTAATCACAATCCAAATTCAGAGCTGTATCAAGCTTGAATGTTGTGTCCATACTTGCCCCAACTGTTCAGGGTTCGACCTCTGCGGTCGTATCAAGCTGCGCCCAGCGAAGCATTTTATTAAAATTGGAGTTATCTTCCTTTGTCCATGATTATAGTTGAATCAACTACAATCAATGCTTTATACAATGCAATGTTTAATTTTGACACCCACTGATAAAACACAGATTAAATTGAATTTGGGCAGTGTCACTTTAACCATTATTGATGCCCCTTTATAAATCGAAAGATTGCAAAATTTTTAGTTTCCATTCTGTAACTTAAGTTTGCCCCAACCAAACATTATGAAACCTGTACACAATATTTATTACCACAAAACTAAGATCAAGTACAATTTTTTGTTTCCGTTTTCTAATTTTAGTTTGCCTCAACCAAATGTTATCAAACTTATACACAATGCTTATTACTACATAATACAGATTAAGTACGAAATTTGGTGGTGACACTTTTACCATTCTTGAGTTATGTCCCTTTATAAACATAAAGATTGCTGAATTTTTTAGTTTGTCTCAACCAAATGTTATAAAACTTATACACAACCGTTCTAGAGTTATGCGTGTTTACAAATAGATAAATTGCTGAAATTTTTAGTTTCTGTTCTCTACTTAAGTTAGCCTCAACCAAATGTTATGAGACTTACACACAATGCTTCTTACAACAAAACTCAGATCAAGTTCAAATTTGGGTAGCGTCACTTTTAATGTTCTTCAGTTATGTCCCTTTATAACTATATGATATGCAAGCGGGGGCATCATCTGTGTCCACATGTGGACACTATCCATATTTATTTTTTTGGGAAAAGGGGGGGGGGGAGGTGAAAAAAAAATTGGGGGGTGGGGTAAAAAAGAAACTGTGAGGGGGGGGCAATTTTTTCTCATTTCAGATTTCAGAAATTAAAAAGAATATTTCTTCAAATATTTTATTTTTTTTTGCAAAAAAAAAGGAGGGGGGGGGGGGGGGTCAA